GAGAGAGCGTGAGCAGGGGAGGGTCAGAAAGAGAGGGAGATACAGACTCTGAAATAGGCTCCAGGCTCTGAGCTGGCAGTCAGCACAGAGCCCGACGCGGGGCTCGAACCCACGAACCGCGAGATCATGACCTAAGCGAAAGTCGGACGCTTAACCGACTAAGCCACCCAGGCGCCCCGAGACTATTCTTTAAAGTATCTTAGAGTCAATGAATTATGGCTTATCCCTCGTGGGCATAATAAGAAGGACATTTCGAAGAACATAAAATTGGTAAAATATTCCTAGAACTTCACATCTAAAGTTCCACTCATCTGTGCCACTTTTTAAAAAGTTAGTAGACTTCTTAACGATTTAAGGGGTTCGGGTTTTTTTAATTTAAATTCAATTTAGTTAACATACAGTGTAGTTTTGGCTTCAGGAGTAGAACCCGGTGATTCATCTCTTACTTATGGCACCCAGTATTCATTCCCAAAATTGCCCTCCTTAATGCCCATCACCCATTTAGTCCATGCCCCCCCCAACACCCCTCCAGCAACCCTCAGTTTGTTTTCTGTATTTAAGAGTCTCCTATGGTTTGCCTCCCTCTCTGTTTTTATGTTATTTTTCCTTCCCTTCCCTAATGTTATCTGTTGTGTTTCTCAAATTCTACATATGAGTGAAAACATACGATATTTGTCCTTCATTTAACATAATACCTTGTAGTTCCATTCATGTTGTTGCAAATGGCACGGTTTCGTTCTTTTTCATCACCAGGTAGTATTCCATTGTATGTAACACACACGATAGAATACTACTCAGCAATGAAAAAGAATGAACTATACATATTACATCTCCTTTATCCATTCATCAGTCAATGGACATTTGGGCTCTTTCCATAATTTGACTATTGTTGATAGTGCTGCTATAAACATTGGGCTGCATGTGCCCCTTCAAATCAGCATTTTTGTATCCTTTGCATTTAATTGATGAGCCAATATTTTTTTTTTGATGAGCCAATATTGATGCATTGCTATTAACTAAATCCAATAGTTTAGGGCTCACTCTTGGTGTTGTACATTTTATGGGTTGGCAAATGTATAAGGACTTGTATCCCCCATTATAGGGTCATTCAAAACAATGGCCTTAATGCCCTAAAAGTCCCCTGTGTTCCACCTCCTCTTCTCTCTCCCTACCAAGCCCCCGGCAACCACTGATCTTTTTACTGTCTCTATAGCTTTGCCTTTCCCAGAATGTCATATAGTCGGAATCATACAGTACGTAGGCTTTCAGACTGGCTTTTTTTCACTTGACCTAAATGGCTAATTGGTCCTCAAACTGTCTCTAAACATGGAGGGATATCAGCGTCTGATCATACTGCCAAATCACTGTACCTTTTGGTGAGCTTATTCTACTCTTTAATAATTTGAAAACTATTTTCTGTGCTAGAATACAAATGCCCTTAAGTGTTTAGAGGTTATTCGTATCCTTATATGAGTAAGGAGAGAACTTTTGAGGAGAACGGAAGTTCAGATGTATTCATCGAATCCAGGTCTTGGTAAAGTATGTGGAAAAGTCATCTG